ATTACAAATAGCGGTGGCCGGCGTGGTGTAAAGCTGAGCTGAAATACCGGACATTTAGGCGCCAACCCTGGACATTTTGGCGCCAACTTGTCGTCAAGTTTGAGCAAATGTTTCCTTTTCGGGCGAAAGTTATGTGTAGCTGTGTAGCTGTGCTGTGCTGCGAGGGTCATTGGGAACGTTGATCGTATATCATTGTAACAATCAAAATCTAATACCGGGACGACATAATCCTCGAAATATGATCAAATGCCAGATTCCCAAAAACTAGTTTTACCAACGTAAAATAAAAGTCGAATTCCGTCAGGAGCGAGTAAAGAGCATACGCACAATAAACACACCAAGCAACAGAAAAAACTAGTGACAAAAAAACCGGTTATATGAGAAACTATGATTAACGCATTGTAGCTACCTTTCAGTTCGGGCATTCAAATGATCATGTAGTGTGTAGACATTGTGGCTTATCGACTAGGATGCCAGCAACGGATAGGGATTAGCTCGAAGCCAAGGAGCAGCATGCCTGAATAGAATCAGCATACTTTTATAGACGTTTGACGCTGATGCTTTGTAATGAAGCGCCCATACGAAATAGCTTGTGTAAGCTTATGGTTTATGAAACTGAGGAGTGATTTATTTGAATGGTACTCTGCCATTTCCATTGAAATACGCTGTACGATCGTATCCAAATAAAGAGTAAAAGACGTTCACCAATAAGTTTTATCGGACTAAAAACGCTTAAACCGTAGATAGTCGTAGATTTCTTTGACAGCATTTCTAGAAGCATACCATTGAAATGCCAGCCTTAAGATGAGCGACAACAGAATACACAATGAAATATTCCACAACAGACACACATACAGTCAACAAAACATTCGGCTCGTTTTGGAAACACATGCACATCATCAATAGCAGCTAGTGAACTCACCTCAACCGTCCAATTCTTGTTCTCCACCGATCGGTTTGAAGTCTCTCGTCCGCACACTCGACCGTCTCTAGCGCGAGCGCCACGCGCCGCTACCACCTTGCCCACGGCGGGATCACAACTGACCGCCCAAACGGCGGGCGACGGCGGCGGCGGCGGGCGGCGGCGAGCGGCAGCCAGCGGCGGCGGCGGCGGCGGCGGCGACCCCACCTGCCTCCGCTGGCCAGCTGCCGCTCGCCAGCTGCCCAGCGAGCACGTGGTGTGACGTCACTGGGGCAGGTGGGGCGCTGCGCGCCCGTCTTGGGGTCGCAGCGCGCTGATTGGTCAGTTGAGCAGGTGGTCAGCGGGCCAGATAATAATGTTTTTTTATCTCCGACGTCTGGAGGTGGGCTCGCCTCGAAGCGCGTCCGAGGTACCGATCGGCACGTGCTCCAGGCCTGTTTTCGCTGGCGGCATCGTTCAAACGAGAAGACTAACCCGTGCCGACCAGGAACGGACGGTGTTATTCGGGTGACACGTCCATGGAAGTTTTCCATGAAACATAATAGATCGGATGCTGAATGGCAGTGCATCTTTTAGCATTGGCTGAGGTAAAAAGGCGTATAATTGCATTTATCGCTCAAGAATCCATAATTTTTTACCAATCTTGTTGCGGAACAGATTCGGCAGGCGACCGTTTACTAATTCAATACCTATTTAAACGCACAGAGAAGAGCAAAGATTCATGAAAGCTTACCGTATGGACGATATGGTGACACGCAACTGTTATGTTATGTACTGACATCTGCATGGCGTTCAACGGATTCCGGTCAGGACGAGAGTCGGTCGGATGTTACTAATTGACTTTATTGTCTGTCCTGAATCCTCATTGTCGGCATTGAAAACTGACAGGTTCGTCGTGCAATTCTGTAAATTTTACTCGCATGAATTGTGGACAATTACATAACATGTTTGTTATTCAGGTGTGCTTCGATATTGGAATAGCTCAACGTCATCATCCTCCAGACTTTCACACAGCTAGCCGTATATTATCGCCTTTAATTCATGGCATCCAAGTCCTCACCGAGACCTCTAGCGGCACCATAAGACCACACCAACTCGTGTTGCTTTCCCCGGCCCCTTCCTCGCTAATTACAATCCCGCTTTCCATCCGGCTAAGACAGGAAGTCGTCCCACTCGGACTGCTAAAAAAAAATCTCCACCGCCCAGACCTCATGGCCATGAGCCCTGTTTGCAAACAACCGTAACTGCACGGCCAGGTCACGACCTTCTTACAGCTTGCAGCCGGGCGTTCGTACTTACATACAGCTGTATCTGAGCTAGTCCCACATAGATATTGCGGCAACTGCCCCAGGCGACGGGCGAGGCAGGTGTTTAAAACGGGCCGCGTAGACTCGTAGTACGCTGGCGAAATACGGCAGGTAGTTAATTGCCGAGTGTCATATTGCAAGTAACGCCTGTTACGCAAGCCGGCCAGGTGTCCCTGAAGTGAATGGGTGCGAGCGATGGCTTGTATTCATTCATGGCCATAGTACAATGTGAATATACATTTTTATCACTCTTTCGTTATTTATATTTTCTGGCTTAGATTGTCAGGAAAGCTCCTGACTGAATTTCTTCCCAATTGTATTTTTATCAGTCGACTGAATAACTGCTACCATGGTTTGCAGAAAATAAATCATTTATTCACATATCATCTCGGCTTGATCGAATGTTTAGTCGACTCACCCATATGTAATGGTGACTATGAACCACATGTCACCAATGTAGGACCTTAGCCATTCACAAGTTTTGATTCAAGCAAAACAGGTCACTAGCATACAAAATAATGCCCCTATGGCCGCATCAACGAACATTCCCGTCTGTTTGAGTTCTCAAATAAACTGTACTGTAGGGGTCAACCGTTTAAAATCGCATCGAACCTCTTCCCAGCAGTAACTGCCGTTTGGTGCAAAGTGCACAGTGCACAATGCACACTATGGCAATCAGCGCACTCGTTAAACAATTTTACGAGCAATGCAACTACATCTAATTTATATGCAAAATAAGTGGCAAATTTGTGACCGTGATTCCTCTGATTCGGTAAGCTAAAATAAGAAATTGCATCATGCCGCTAAGTCACGAAGCCGCATATCAAAATGCCAGCATCAGAGGACTTCATGAGCGCATCAGTGCCAATATAACATGGCCAGCGGTTCGTCCAATTGTCGTCTTCCTTCCGAGGCACGCGTTGTACATTTTTAGGCTACGTGACGCAGCTGGTCCAGAGCCCTCATCCACAGGTGTTCCCTCGATACTGGCTGGCCGCCTATCAGCTGTGGCGCTATTGACGCGTCAGATAGCCATGTTTGGTGGATATCACCTGGATGGCAATTAAAAGGGGGCCGTGCTATATGGAACGTGAGGCGAGAACACTTGGAAAAATATGCTTTGACGAAATACATTGAAATTCAACGGGTAGCGAATGAGATCAATAAGAATTGTATTTAATGAGTCACATCACATAAGAGCTAATTCGAAGCGTAATTTCACCATCAGCCTCAGCCCTCATCCCACAGCATACATATCGAAAAATCATTCATCCTTGAGGCATGTACCATCTGAATCCATCCCATAATCTGTTTGTTACGTGATAATTACACGTCACATCTGCTCCATTAGACAGTCCACTTATCTTTTTCGTCGATAAGTATGCAATTCTATTGTTGCAAAAAAAAAAACTATGCGATATACCAAGAGTTTATTGCGATCAAAACAGCAGACAATAAGATGATCCGAGCAGTTGCATGGATGGCATTGTGTCCTGTAAAACATTAGACATTATGCTACAATGCAAATATTTGGTATTATACATTTATTTCATAATTTAACGCAATATCACAATGATAAGGAACGCCATGCCCATGATGCATCAACCATCTTATTTATATCAACGATGTTATCGCGCATATTCGCATTGATTTATTGCTAAATTATTAAGCGGTGTAAGCACACGTTAAAATGCTGGTATAGTTCTCACAAAAGACAAAATTGCAAAGCTTGCACATCCTCATAAAGTGGCCGTGTCATGTGTGAAACATAATGGCTTGATCATTGATGAGAACAAAAGACTTTCATTATAGCATATGCATATTTAACGCGACACATAAAGATATCACAGGTCCATTGCAATATCCTAATGCATAAGTGATGATGGCAATAAATATGTTATTTGTTAGCCATGAATCACAGACAATGAACATGTGCAATGTGCATTATAGCAGCGCTAGAAACGATGCACCTCAGGTCCAGTTTAATTCACCGATAGCATAGTCATTTATTTCAGAGCATAAAAGTCACCCCTACATCTCTTAGGTACCTAAGCACTTAAACACGGTAGGAGGAAGGTGCTTCTAAATGGCAAAATTCGTTTCGAAAGGCGTTCAATGAATCCCAAAAAGCATCCCAAAGCGACACAGCTAAGCACATGCATAGCAGCGTGGCTTGAGACCTGAATGGTAGAACTATATAGCAAGAATGATCAATAATGTACACATGGCGTTATTGCTTCACTTACACTTATAAATAAAACATTTATAAATAGAAGGCTTTTATACATCATTCCGAAAGATAATTAAAATCGGAGCATTGTTTTTGACTGCGAACCATACACAGTTACGTCACTGATTCATTTGGTTGTAGAAATAAAATGCGTCATCGCTTCTAAACGAATCGCCGAAGATTACATCGGTAAGTGTATATCATCGGTAAGCAACTCTCTACTCAGCCAGTTTTAACCCTGTGCCAATTATCACTCTGTGCATTGCAAACTGCACGCTCTAATAAAGTGCAAGCAGTGAGAAAATGTCGAAAAAGCAAACAGTCCGTCCAAGCACGAAGACGTATAAAGAACAACGCCTCGGAAAACCACATGATCCTTCAAAACACCGATCACGAAAAACAGCAAATCAAGCGCAACAACTGCTCATTGCGAAATATTGCGAAAAGGAACACCTTTTCTATTCTAAAAATATCACTTCTGCATTGCTGACAAGCCGAATCATCTTGCCGTTATTGTCTTTGCTTCGCGACGTTGTCGCATACATAGTTCGATCTCCACCGCTTATCTGATGCCACTAGTCACTTAACCGGTGGAATAGTCTGATGTCCCGTTTAGCGAAGGCATGTCATGTCCATCCACTGAAAAGATCGACTTCAGCTCACTTGAGATCCTGTGTAGCGGATCGATAAATTCGTCCCAGTGCATCACATCTAGTTCAGTAAACACTCTGTAAGTCTGCTTTGTAGCAGAATATCAGGCTGATGCCCAGAATTTCGTAACACCTCCAACACATTATCACAATATAGCACACCACGAGAGTCTCTGGAGTCAGTCACTAGAGGTTCAGTCGCTTTGAACACCAGCACGAATCCTCAGATAGCCCCGAGATTGGAATCCTTCCTGATCAATCTTCCTCTGATCCAATCCAGTCTGATCATCTGATAGCTCGAAATATAATAATTCACCGTGCAACAAGTCCATTTCTTGCCAAAACGGTGTATATCTTTCAGCTTCGAGGAACAATTTTCTCTTCTTTCGTCATCACTTGATGAGGTCATCGATTTCGTGTTCGATCTGTGACGAGGTGCTCTCCTTTCTTCGTGGTGTCAGAGGCCCCATTACGCTCCCTCGGGAGTGTGGTCGATCCAGACCCTGAAAGAAAACACACACGAATGTCTCAGTTTTTACTTGTGTCGATTTGTAACAGAGTTGATAATTCGGTTAGGTTCATGCTTAATCGTGTACCTTTATTGTGTACACTCTGACATCGAGTCTAGCTTCGCGTGTTTACTCGTCTTTGTCGGCTGACCTCAGAGTCTAGCCTCAAGGGCTCATCCGCTATTACAGATTGTCCTGGGCTACACCTGTAGGGGCTTATTCCCTACAGGTGAATGTCCGTCTCCGCCAAATGACCCGAAAGTCCGACTGTTCGTCGTCGGATCGTCCATCCCTGCCGATTGACCCAGGGTCTAACCCGGTGGTGGTGTGCCTGTCCGCCCTGCCAACTGACCTGGGGGTCTATTGTCTAATCCTATCCTTTCCTGCCAACTGACCTGGGGTTTAGCCCCCGCTGTCTATCGGTTCCTGCGACTGACCCTTGGACTGACCTGCGGGTCAAGCAGCACCTCTGCCGAGTTGGGGGCGGTGGCGCCGGAGCCGACACTCCTGCCGCCCCTGATGGGTGGCAGCACCGGCACGTGACTGGTGTCCCCATCTGTCGGAGAACGACACAAACAGTCGGTCAGGCCAGGTCACAGAGAAGACAGACACCGTCCCGGGTTCCATCATTTTCGATCCTCAGGACATTCAAATCATCCTCCGCACCGCAAATCCCCTGATCCGTGTTGAACGGTCACCTTTATCCGACATGGGTAATTCCACTTCAGGAGCAGGCCCGTAGCAGGGTGCGGTGACCGTCAGGGGGCTGGGTGGCCTGTCCATTCGGACGGGCTCAGCCCCGGCGACTCTCTAGGGTGTCGGCCCAGACCAATGTCTCCCCCTATATCCTATCATCCTTCCGGCTCTGAAATGGTCTTGTCAGACCGAAAGGGCCTAACCCAACAAAACAAAAAAGCATGCGTTATACGGCATTTCTGCTTTCTCGCATCCCAATCCTGTCCTCTTAGCGCTCCTCAACAGTACTTACCTGTATCAGTCTCCAGCACGGCGGCATCTGACTCCTCGCCGTCACTGATAAAGTTGGGGTGGACCGACGGGCGTGTCACAGCGCCGGCCGACTTGTGCACTCTGCTCGGCTTGGGACTGATCAGCTGAGATTCTTCCTCGTTGCCACTGTCGTGATTGAAGGTGGGGAATACATTACATTGAAAGGTGATGGAAATACGAGTACATTACACACCGGTGGCACACCTCTGATGACGAGGGGCAGCTTACACTGTACTGTACAGTTACAGTACAGTGCGTACAGTTACTCCCTTCCTCTCTCTCTCTCTCTCTCTCTCTCTCTCTCTCTCTCTCTCTCTCTCTCTCTCTCTCTCTCTCTCTCTCTCTCTCTCTCTCTCTCTCTCTCTTCCTTCCTTCTCCGTCTCTTTCCCTCTTCCTCCCTCCAATTCTTACCGACAGCAGCGGCAGCACCGACAGCACCGATAGGCGCTGATTGTGCAGGAGAATATCCGCAGCAGACAGAACAGCAGACCGGACCCGATCAGACTGGGGCCGATCAGCTTCAGCTCGTCCGTCTGAAACCTGCCGGTCAAATGCCGGATAGACAGTCGTCAGAGAAGTCGTTATGGTTTGAAAGTTTTATCTTCCACACTGGAGATTGACAGTACCTAACCTTTTGAATAATTGCCTATTGCCAACTGTTCGGTTACAACGACTACACAAGAAGTAGTTTCTGGTAGAAACACAGCTTTATAGATTATAATCTAATGATAATTATCATCTAATGAGTACCTTGTCACCGTGTCGCAATCGAGTTTAGGGTGTATTGATTGCATAAATTAGTGCAATTTTAAGTCTCCGATAGCCGATAACAAAGTCTCCGATAATTAGGTGAGTGGTCGTAACATGTTATGTGACATACAGGGTGATCGAAAAAAAGTGTCACCCCTAACTTAAAATCTACATAACTCGCGACTGGTAGGCCGGATGACTTCGCGCCAGGCAGCATCGGAAAAAGCAGGCAATTTCTTTTCAATTGAATGTATTCATGATTGTTTTCTATTCCAAATCATGTCCCCATGGGCTCAAAAACCAGTCAATGTGCGGCTTTCACGTGAAACGAAATTCACCGAACGGGATCGGACACCGCTGAACGAGAACAATGAGTATCGTAACTCAACATGACACACACCTTACACATTACACATGGAGTGTATGTTGTTCACTGCATACTGTTTCTCAGCTGACCTTAGACTCGTTTCTCAGCTAACTTTAGACAAGGAAGACCTTATCAGATCTTCCTTGCAAACATGCGGCCTCATTATTCATAAATTCGCCGGTAACTAGAGAAACATTGCGACAACCTGCACTACCGGATTATCAATTTTATGCAGCGGTAACCATGGAATAGTTAAGAAAAATGCTCACGTGAGCTGTCACGTGAGCTGTCAGATCAAAAAACTCTGTCAAAAGTACAAATTTGCACAACCAAACTTTTGAACACGCCAAATTGCGTCCTTAACATACTTTTTGAATAGCTACATCTTCGTTTGCGACATAAACCATGCATATTTACATCCATTCGAAAGGAAATTGTATGCGCTTTCCAATGCTGCCTGGCGCAAAGTCGTACGACCAACCAATCGCGAGTTATATGGCTTTTAAATTAGGGGTGACACTTTTTTCGATCACCCTGTATCTCCGCAAGCAAAAATCCATATCCCCGTGTACAATCTAAGAAGCTGCCTTTTATAATCTAATTTCGAAGCTCTATCATCTCTCACCCTCGTTCGCCGAGCCCGACGAACGTGATGATGAGTCCGATGGCGATCATGCCCAGGCCGACGTAAAGGACGATGTTGGCAGAGGAGGAGTTGGTGAAGCCGCCCTGGCCGTCCTTCTGCAGCGAGGCCTCCACGTCCTCCACCTGGGGAAGAGGGGTCAGAACTTGAGGTCAAGGAAGTCAAGTCAACGTTAAGTCAAGGAAGCCAGTAGCGGCGGAACACCTTCAATTAACCCTCGCCCGCACAGGGGGGGGGGGGGTTGCCCCCCCCCCAGGTAGTCTTTCTGCTCTGCAATCAACATTTGTAGAGCTAGAAGGCTGATTTTTTGTATAGCTGCTCCTCTATCCTTTCCTGATGTCCAATGAAAATTTCGAGTTTCTGTGATTTTTGGTTTCGGAGATATGACCTTGTTTTCAGGTCATGTCATGACCCAAATGGCCAATTCTCAACATCTTGCGTTTGCCATGGGTCTTGTGAGCTTTTGACACCCTGATTTCGGCCTTTTTTGCCAGTCTTACCTCCCACCTATCATGGAACATGTTGTTCGACGAGGTACAGGGGTCAAGGTCAGGGTCAAGGTTAACCTAGGTCATCTAAGATAATTGCGTTTTAGGCAAGCTGAATTTACTTTTTGTGAAGTTTTTGACTGCATTTTTGGTAAAAGCTTCTCAGATCATGATTTCATGTAATATGGACCCAAAAACAATCGGTGCACACATCAGTATACAGACAGACACACACAGACATACAAACACATATGATTGACCTTGACCTAACTTGACCTGAAATGACCTCAGCAGCAAAAAATCTGGTCGGGTAGTGTGACACAGAGGTTCTAGCTGGCTTGGCACCAGAAAACAGCATCGTCATCGGTATTTGATAAGCAGCGCACTTGATATCCAACGGTGACCCAAAACAGCAACATTTTTTAGTTTGACCTGACCTGGAAGGTCAATGACTGACCTGAGAAGGTAAAACTGGGTATCATTGGATTCCTCTCTTCCCAAAGAATCTTTTTGGTCTTTACCGCTAAGCTCTATCTCCAACAGGAACGAAATGCGCGGGGGGGTGGCAACCACCCCCCATGTGCCTTCTAGGATGGGAAAATGGCATGTGCGGGCGAGGGTTAACCCTCGCATGTGTAGGGGGGGGGGGGGTCGGATGGACCCCCCATGGTTTTTCGCGAATAACTCGCGTAAAAAGCGGCCGATCGCGACGAAACTTTCAGTATCCTCTCATTGATCAATTTTACACCTACCCGGAGAATTTCATGACCCTGACCCAAATGACCTTTGACCTGTGACTCTTTTCCGAGACCATGTTTGGCCGGAATCGCGATTCCGCGTATGTCGGCTCGCATTAGCCGCGCGTTTGCAAGCTTTTCGTGGTTTCAAACGTTCAAACATGTAATTTGATGTTGCTCCCATGCATTAGAATGGGTGTCAAGGTCACCTGAAGGTCAGGTCAGGTCATTGACCTTTGGTGACCTCGGGTGACCTCGGTTCACTTTTTCGAGTTTTACATGTTTCTAGGCTAGTTTTTGGAGCTGAATTCGAATTTAGCAACCATTTGAACATTACGAAGTAGTTTTGGTGCCTTCGTAACATGTTACGAAGCTGTCAGAGGCGGTTGACACGTACTACGAATACCCGTCACAACCCCTACTGGTTGACATGACCTGACCTGACCCGACCTGGTCTAAATGCTTAAAGACATCATCTGTGATCAAAACTAACACGATATTCGTGATCAGCACCCCGAAAAACCCCTTTGCAGCCACACTTTACGACTTTCTAATAGGTCCCGATTTTCCCGACTTTGGGTCATTGACCTGACCTGGAAGGTCAACCAATGACCTAGGACCTTAAAATTGGGTATCATCGGCTTCCTCTCGTCACGGGCAACACGCTCGTTTTTTCTGCGAAGCTCTAGCTCGATCAGGGCCAAACGGCAAGGGGGGGTCCAACCGACCCCCCCCCCTACACATTAGAAGCTGGCAAACGCCGCACACATGCGAGGGTTAAAGGGGGCACTGCCGACTTCTGGTCCCATTCTTTCCATGCAACGCCCGTAGGGCTAATGTTAAAATGCCAAAAAATCCAGGAGGGGCACGGTGCCCCGGTCCCCCCCCGTTCCGCCGCCTATGAAGGAAGCCTTTGCCTGGGGAGAACGGTCCAAAATAAGAGGTGTGGGGCAGAAGTCTCTTTCATATCTGCTACCTAAGGGGAAGGGGAAGGGATTAGTCATGTCTCTAAACCATTCAACTAGGGGCAAGGGCCAGACGTAAGAAACAGACGTCACGGATACCGTTACCGCATGCATCCATTCCTCAATCTACATAATTCTAGGAGATAAGGGCAGATATGTACGTCTCAAAGCTTACTGATTAGACGAGACAAAAGGTGAGGGGCAAAAGAAGAGAAGCCAGCCTCCACTTTTACCTTGGGGAAAAGTACGAATTTTACGAAACCTGTCATCACATTTCTTACTCTCCGGCAATCGTCTTTGCTGTTTATTCACCCATCATTGTCACAACTCATCATTTCCTGTTAGCTGTCGGTAACTCGGAAGCTCATCTTCCATCTAGCTTCTTTACTAAGTCGATACCACCCTTCGTCTCTCTTACCTGGTTTTTGCGCAGCCAGCGTCGGTGCGCTGCCGTCGCCAGTGTTTTGTACTCCCGAACCTCGCCGGTCGCGCCAGGGCCTCGCTCCAGCTCTCCTTCCCATGCAGGCTTTCCGTTGGGTACCTGAGAAACGGGCATCGATTTTAGGAGACGCACTGAGAATGAATGTTTTCTAGCACCTGGGCAAGGAAAGAGAAAGAGACAGCTTACGGGGGGGGGGGGGGCTTATGATTTGCTACATTACTCATCACTGCAAGTATGAGACCGAACTGCTGATCTGAATATTCTTCTGGTTCAAAAGCTACGTTACGAGTAAAGTTGACAAAGCACTGAGCAGAAATATCATTGTGTCGCGATTAAATTCACACTGCACTGCACCTGAATCTGAACGATGTGATGCGAAAATATACTCTATGGCATTGCTATTAAATCCGTGAAATCCGTGTATGTATATTGCATAATCAACTCGTATTCAACATGCACAGTAGCTAGAGGAAGACATTCCGGATAGAAAATGCCACAATCGGCATAAATACAAACCGAACGCTACCTGCAGATTTAATAAATTGCTGTGAAATGAAACGGGTCTAACGGATGGATCGGAAATTTTATACAAGTCGAAGAGCTGGGCATGGGCATCATTAGCCCAAGTGGGAGTACTGTTAGTTTGAGCACGACACACAAAAGTCTATTTTATTTTACGTGTCTGGCCATTTCAAACCATGGCCAGCACGTAGAGAAAGCTGTTAAGCATGCTGGAATTCGACGTTTGAGCTTGATTAACCCGCGCCCTGCTGGGGGGGGGGGTGTTTGAACACCCCCCTTGTGGTTTTTCGCGAATATCTCAAAAACGGCGGCGCGGAGCGCCGCCGTTTTTGGTACACCTTATCATACATCAATTCTACACATGTTGTGAAAATTTCAGACCAAGGTCATTCAAGGTCAGGTCACCAGGTCACTTGAAGTGCCTCACTCATAAAAAGTTTCAATGTCTGTCATAGCTACACCGAGTGACGATCGCTTTGAAACTTTCAGCGATTGCTAAGAGCAATAGCATGTACAAAATGTATATCTCAGAATTTTGATATCGATGACCTAAGGTCAGGTCAATTTTGCGACCTCCCCATTATAAGTCAATGGGAGAAAATTGAAATGCGCCTCTTTTGGACGAAAGACATTATAAACACTCCCAAACACCGAATTACAAGTGGTTTAGACACACTGAACATGAAAATGGTGTCCGGGACCCTTGTTTATGCCCTGAGGTCATCTTAGGTCACGAATGGTATCTAACAGTTTTTCGCAAATAACTTTTGATAGAGGCATGCTAGAGCGATGAAAACGCCTTAGATGTGTTCATCTCGACGATACGGATCGACTGATATGCAACATGACCCTTTCCGGTCAGGTCATGACCTTGACCTGAGGTCAAATTTTCAAGTTGACCTTTCAAGGTCAAGTTATAGTTCATTCGATGCGTCTCGACGAGAGGAACACGATGCCGGAAAGTAAGCTCGTACAGGTCTTGGGTCAAAAGTTATTGCAGAAAAACTGTTTCCGAAAAAATCGGCTTTTTGCAGTTTTTGCCCCCTGCAGGCAAAACCGTTGACGTTAGGTCAAATCTGAGAGAATTGCTCAGAAAGGGCGTTAATAGGGCTATCGAATGCGCTTTTCCGCGGCGCTGTAGCTCTATTGGTTCCCGAGTTATGCGTTGGCTTCTTGGAAATTTTCGACATTCGACCTGGAAATCGGCGAAATTTTGCCTTCAATGACCTCTGGTGACCTGACCTTTGACCTGACCAAAAAATTGACCGAAGTGATTTCGTCATTATTTTTGACGCTCTTTCGAACGCCGCCTTCCGCGTATCGCTACGTAGCCCAGGAGCCGAGTTAGAAGGGGGGTGTTCAAACACCCCCCCCCCCCAGGGCGTGGAAATCCAGGACCCCCAGCCGGGCGCGGGTTAATTAATTCTGCTAGCGCATTCAGCACTTCTCGAAAATCATAACACAACAAACGCTGTATTACGTTCGCCTGACTCCGATCATATAACCTGAAACGTGTATCGAAGGCGTAATCTATAGAGTCACAGGGATACATTAAAGAATGTGTTCGACGTCGTCACCCAGCAGCTAAGTAACATTTGCTGCAGCGTGCCAGGCCAGGGTTCAACAAAGCTATAACGCACGGATAAATCTCAGCTTTATCGTTACTGGCACGCAAGGCAAACAATAAATGTTTGATGTGTTAGGTTAAACCGGGAAAGCACACATATGCTTTCCGGTTAGTGACAGCTTAATCACTATCGCGATGAATTGTAGTCATGGACGAGTCGTGTTTTACGAATATAACTAATATGCAGAATGCAAATTACTGACGAGTTACGATATGGATCGAACATGTGCATACTTGCTTTATTAGATAATAGGGATTCATTTCACTAACAGGCCACGATTTAAAATAGCTGCGCAACGCGTTCGAGCGGCTCAGTATAATAGCCCACCGCTTTTCATTTTTGGGGTTCACTAATCGAACACAACGAAGCGTAGCGTCTACTTATTGAAGTGATTAATGTAACTGGCTACAATGAACTTCGCTATTTTCATGAGAAAGGCCTTTTATTTTTAATATCACCTGCAGTTATCACGGAAGATAATTTAGGAAAAGTGAAGAAAGTAAAGTCGTCCGAATAAGGTAAAGAGAAACGCCGAGACGCTCTTACTGTGAATTCGGCTGCATTTTGCAATAGCTTCACAATTGCTTTCATGAGTGACAATGATCAAGCTCAAACACTCCGGATTTCCTCTTCTATAAGTCCGGATCTGGATCTCAGTCCGAGGCTAGTCTACGCGAAACACCCCCCCCCCCCCCCAACGGGGTGGTGCTCCTTGACACACAACTGTCAAGCGTTGGTGGTAATGCAAACAAGGCTTCGCTGGTTAGTCCCCTCGTTTTCATAGTAGGCATGCACTATTCCTTTTAAGTTGGAAGATCAATGATTGAAATGAGGATGCATGCAAACAATACCATGGACGGGCTAACAAGCGAAGCTGTAATCGATGGTTTACTTTCCACTTCGGCTCAAAATTATTCTGAATGCTGACGAAATATGGACTAGTTTTGACGGCATAGTAAAATATGATAGCACTTTACATAAAACTAGCTACAAACATAGATCCTTCTTGCGTCACATTTCACTGCGTTGACTGATCCCGATTGAACAGGTCTTATTTGGGTCAGAATAGGACCTTCTGAATCCATCTCTGAGCATGGTTGGAAAAAAAATACTATCCATATATTGTCTTGGCTTGTACTGAATTTCCCTAAGAATGTCGAATTTTTTCATTCGTGATTTTGCGTCAATGATCGTGAGCATAAGCAGCACACTTACTCAACCCTCTTATTGACATATCACCCCAGTAACCGATCCCTAATGATCCCAGGAGTCATTGGGTGACACAAACAGCATACATGTCGCCGCGAACGAACGCAGTCTGTGCTTCAACGGTAGACATTGCAGGGTTACCCTTATCGAACCCACCCACAATTAGCGACGCGCACAATAAGGATTTAATATTTTATAGATATAATATAATATATTTTATGATGCATACCTCCTCGACAGGCGGCTGGGACACAGAGGACTGGCGCCGCTGTGCCGCGCCGGGCAGCCGTGGGCGATACTTCAGCATCTTGGTATGATAGAGTTAAGTCTCGGAGTGGTCTATGAAAGTGAGGTGGAAGGCTTCAGGCTTGGTTCTTCTGCAGTCTGGTCATATGCTTTCTTCGGGACAATGGCCGTTTAATAAAAGCACTAAGTTCTTCGTTGTTGCATTGCCCATCATCCAAACGAAGGCAGTTTTTATTTACCCTTCAACTTAAACTTACTTAATGTTAAAGCTAATTTCAAAGATGTTTTCTTCGAAATCCACTCTTTTGGTATTGTAGTGATTGCGCATTACATGTTTCATGCACTTTCACAAACAGGGTTTTATTATATGTCCTCTTGAGTGAGCCTTTTGTTGACGCTTTCCACAAAGTTGCTTCCTGAGATAATATCCACCAAATCACTGATCACTTATCCCTGTCGTCCGTTCACTTCACTCCTCGAAAACACACACCACACCGACTTCTTTGCCGCTCCTGACACCTCACATCCCTCACCGCACTCGAGCCAAAGACTGCGGGACCCAGCACCGAACCCTGCAGCACACCCACGCGGCCCGTCAGGGTGTGATGCACGCCGCGCCGCCGTGGCTGTGTCCCTGCTCGTCACAGTGGGTCACATCGATTGACCCTGCAGCGCCGGAGGCGGGGACCTGCGTGACATCAACACAGGGCCCGGCGCCCGGCGGCCCGCTTCGAAAGGTCGATCTGCACTGACTGCGAACGCCCGTCCGGCCGCTCAGTCGCTCGCTCGCGCGCTAGCGACGGCAACTGCGTGATGGTAGGCCGTTGGGCGGGCGCAAATCGTGACTGCTAGTACTAACTGCGATGCGTGTGACATGTTTGGTTCGGTTGCCATTGACCCATCGATTGGAGGGCGTTCTTTTCATGGCGGTCACAGAGTCTACATGCAGTTGCATTGTCTTTATTGTATGTTTAATGATGGACGGTATGATCTGGATATGAGTCAGGTTAACTTGATTTATTGAGGACAGTTAAGGCTGTCTGGAATATGTGGCAAATCAGGGGAAT